AAGAAAAGCATAATTTTTTATGTCCTGCCAATAGCCAATTGTCAAAATCAACATGAACATCATAATAAAATTCCAAAGAATCCGTAGATGTATAATTCCAATATGATGAATGTCGAACTATTAGACGACAATGGCATGGCTCCCCAACGATCAAATCATGTGATTTTGAAATAATCAATTCCACAGTATTTAGAATCTAGGTTGAATAGAAAAAATAATATTGAAAATTTGCAAAATGATATCATAATAAAAAAGAAAGATCGATCTATGTATACCTTAGACGATGGCACATTTATGGGGAACGATATTGAATATTTTAAATCATTACCGATAGCCATAATTTCTTCATTAGACACTTGGTTGCTTGTCTAATCATAATCATTAAAATAAACGTAAATCTTAAAAATCTAAATGACATCATAACAGCAATAAAAAAAAGGTAATTACCTCCCAAAATTCCTTAACAACATCAACTAGTGCGTCTTTGGCAACACCATGGGTTATGAAAAGATTCTCACACTGTGAAATATCTAATTCACCTAAATCCAAAGTATCTGTCATACCATATGAAACATAATCTACCGATTTCAATAGATGTTCCTTGGCATTCTCAATAAGGAACTGAGAATGTTGAAATAATTTTTTTGACTTTAAAATAGTATTCAAGGTATGCTCCACATACTTCTCAACCTCTATATTTATGAAAAGATCGTAAAGTTTAATTTAACGAAATAAGAAAAGAATATCAAAAGCGAAGAATAAGTCAAGTTAATTACCTACCATCTTGAAGCGACCGATATGTTACTACAAAATGGATTTGAGTGCTTGCAGATTTCGCATGCTCTCCATGATCATAATCTATACAAATTAAACAAAATATTAATAAAAGTTTAATATAATATGAAATATAACCCATTGTACTAACGTTACCTTTTGATCTTGTCAATTTATACACGTATGAAGCATGCTGTTTTCCAAATAAATTCTTTTTTTATGGAAAAAGTTTAAAAAATGAATATAATGCGAATAAACATTTTGGAATGTTATTTAATGACACATACCAAAGATGGTAAACTTAAGGATGGATTGTCGGCAACCTCATAAACTTTTGAAGGAACCAAATCGGTTTTCAAAATTCTCACTGGAACCGTCCCTTGTAATGTGATATCCATTTTTAAAAAAAGACTAAAAGAAAATTTTTTTAAATAAAAAAAATCTAAAACTCAAGATCATAATCAAATAATTATTCTCAAATTTATACCAATCATCTCTGAAAATATTAAGTTCATTAACCGAAATAGGCAACCAAACTTTTACTGTATCAACAGATGTAAAGGCTTTTGTTTTTCCTTTACTTTTGTATTCTACCGATATTCTAACCTGATAAAGGATCAAAAATTCATATCAATAAATTATTGATATAAACATATAGAAATCTCAAATTCCTTTCAAACACACAACCTTGTGCTCAACTGATCCCCAATTACCGTCATATGGAATCTGAAATTCTATTAATTGATTTGATTGAGAAGGAGGTATTCTTATTTTACCATCTTCAGATACTTCCAAATCCTGTTCTGATACGATGTCTTCTGATATTTTCTCATCTAATAAATAAATATATATAGTCATGATCAATAAAAAAGTTCTTGTAATTGGTCATTTCCTAGAATATGTAGGCCAACGTACCCAAAGTAACAAAGTGTTGATTGAAATTTGCATGATTCAAATTAAATAACATAAAAGATTATATAATAATTCTGTTTCTACCAATAAAACCTATACGTGACCCCAATATCATAAGGATAAACGATAAGGAACAAGAATAAATAAAACATGCACTTTCATGTTGAGCTTTAATACTGGGACAATGACCACATATTTTGAAATATAATTTTTTTTAAAAAAAAAAAAAAAAAATTGAAAATATGCTTACTGATAACGGATTTGGTGACCGAGGGATATTTTTCGGATTTTGGAAACGAAAGCTCTTCCGATATTGCCTCCAACAACAATTTGCCCTCGTTTACACACGATAGGCCAGTAAAGATTCGAACAAGAAAATATTGTTGTGCCCCAATATGAACTAAAAAGGGGTAAAACTCAAATAAATCGTAATGTAAAAGTTTAAAAGAATAATTAAGAATAACCTTCATACTTTCGCTTGGAGCAATAATCTGTGCTCTTAATACTGATGGGTGTTCGTTAATCCTAAATGATTTCTTTTTGCTCTCGTTCAAGAAATTGTGAGTGAAAGATACTTTGCCTATGGACATTCGTACATTCTCTACATAATAATTTCCAGATGCACTATTCTGATTATTTCAAATTTAATAAAATTTAGAATATAGCATAACTATGACAGTACATAAATAACATTATAATATTACATCGGAATATAGCTTATAAGTATTCAAACCAGGCTTGATTTCTTCATTACAAACGCCAAACCAAATCTCCTCACTCTGTCCGCTAACCAACCGAATCGCAAGTTGATCAAAAGTAAAAGACTATTAATATAAAATCAATTTTAATTATTAAATCTTGTAATATGCAGAATTGACACCAAATTAGAAAAGATTAATCATACTGTTGACAAATTATTGGTAAGTTCAACTGCTAGATATGGACCATCCTCATCTTCTACATCATCAACAATAGAGGTTACCGATATAGAAAATATTGGTTTGAATTGACGATTTATTTCTAGATAACATACATGTTAAATTTTTTTTCTAAAAAAAATTTTTTGGATATACGTAAGAATAATAACTCATACCTTGGCCTTTTTCTAATGTCCCACAAAGCTTTTTAACTTCATCCGCGTAAAAAGCGATTTCGTCACTTGTCAATAAAGAATAATTCTTTAATAATGACAAACACGAGCACACATAAGTATTAAATTAGCAAATTAAAATGTTAAAGATAGAATTAAAAGAACGAATTTTGTATAATTTTATTTTTTGAGGAAATAAAGAATTAGGATATTTTCTAGTTTGGCCTAATTCTTTTTGGCATGCGGCAAATTTGAATAAAAGATTGTTTTCGACAACTGTCCATCCTTGTTCTCCATAACGCCATGGAATATCTTCCATCACCTGTACAGCGTCATCATATTGTTTACGATGACTAAAAAAGATTCATTTCTTATAAATATATGAATAAAAAAATATCTCCGAAATTAAAAAATACGGGAATCAACGTACAAATGTAATGCTGCAACATCTCCTTGTAGCCGCAATACACTTCGAAGACGTGCACTACATTCATAAGCTCTAAGTGCTCTATTTGTTAACGACTTTTTGTAAAACAAGATATGATTCGATGTCAGTTACTATAATATAATACAATAATAAAAGTAAAAATTTACATTATATTGCTTACTAAATAAAGTACATCAAAATCATTTTGCGAATTAATGGCTTCTTGCAATTCCTTATTAGTAATAGTGAAAATTTTTTTAGCTTTACCCTCTTCATCTATAGCTGGAAGATTTACATCACCCAGTGATGCTGTAAACGGAAGCGAAGCTGGCAAATGTTCGTAATAAATTCCGATTTTATCTAGCTATCAAAAAATGTTGACGTGTTGAAAAAAAAATTAGGGTTTTTATTTTTTTAAAAAAAAGCAATTCTTTTAAAAAAAAGAGCGTATTCATAAATTCATCCAAATTATCCGTAAATTTTCCTCAAGATCAAATTTGTAACAAGGCTATTTGTTGATAAGTCATCTCGGTTTAATAATTCAGCAACGTACTACCCAAAATTTAATGAATATATGAATACAAAGGAAGTATAAAAATGAGCAACCTGTTTTCTTGCCAAGTCTAATAATTCCCCCTTAGCAGCGTTGAATGCGATCGAGCTTGATTCATCCATTGAAGTAAGAGGAGCCAATTCCTCACACTCGTTAACAACACTCATACAGGATGAAAAGATCCATGATTCTAAAAAATGTTCTCCCATTTTTGCTTGATGCTCTTTAATTGCCCTGCCAAAGGTTGAAATGAAAAATTGCGCTCTCCGACATATATCAACAGGTCTATGTAACCTCCCTAATAATTGACATTGCCTCGCAAAAAGATAACATCTGAAATCAAATTCAGGAATTGTATTTTGCATTATAAGATCTCTATATTGTTTCTTTTTAATATCCAAGATATTATCACTATCGTCATTTGGGTCCGTAGCACCAAAGCTACCAAACCAAGCAAGTGCCCTGTCTAAATTAAATAATAAATAAGAAAAGGATAATATCAAAGAAATTTATACGTGCAAACCACACTAAACCTTTCAAAACTTGAAAAAACGATGCCTCTAGTTCATCATATTGAACTAAAGCTTCCTCAAATAAATTCATAATTTCAAAGGTCAAGGCCAATCTTTCCTAAAATAAATAATTTAATATTTGTTGCCAATTAAAAAAAAAAAAACTCTAGGTATTTTCAATATACCTTTAAAATAAAAGATCTACAATAATTCCATCCGACCAAGCTTCTTTGAGAGTCGAACATTTTAATTTCTTCTTCATAAGTTATCACATGCTGATCAAAACTACACAAGATCCCTTCTTTTATTTTAGTTATTAATTCTTGCCAAGCTTCATAATCCTCAGAATCATTTTCAGATAATCTTAATTGTACACATCTAATAATAAAGATTATATAAAAATCTTGATAAAGGTTTTTTTTTTTAAGGAAAAAAAAAAAGAGAAAAATTCCTCCCTCTACCTTTCACGTCTTGATGAATTAAAATCTGCTTTGATCTTATCAAAAACGGTCCCTTTCATAAAATATCTAGCGGCATTTCTCATCGTTTCTTGTTTGGTAACATAAACGATTAGCCATTCTTGTTTTCGTTTAGAATCCACAATGTTTAACCATTCCCGAATTTTATTCTTGACTATTTGACGATATTTTTCATTATCCTAATTTTCAAATCGACCTTAATTAATAAAAGGCAAAAGATCTACGTACAATAACCAAGATATTTAATACTCACATCACAATTAACGAAATATAAATTAAGGTATGGTTTTTCGAGTAAAGTTTCGGGGTTCATGTGTGACTTTTCTGTTGTATCTGGGTTAAACCGTTTTAGTTCTATGCCCAAAACTTGTATATTACGCAAAGGACCTTTTGCTGACTTCCAGTGTAAATTTCGGAGAGGAAAGTGTTGTCGAAATTCGTCAGCAAGATGTTGCCAAATACCGAATTCATCAGTATCTAAGGATTTAATCAGAATCATTAAAAAAAAGTCCACGGCAATAAAAAAATCATGACGCAATTGGTTATTCTTACAGGTGACTGTGACTTTTTTCCCGTCCATTACGACCATAATTTTTTTAAACAAAAAATGTGACAACGATAAATCTCATACCATTTCATTCAAGATTTCATATGCCGAGACGTTACACCGAGTTTGGATTGGCTTTCATTTAGCATTCATCCTTGCATAGCATTTACTTGGTTAAAATTTTAATTCTGGTGTAACAACTTGGAGTCCTTTTTAAAATGGGATTAAATCTTATCAATATAGTTTAGTTTCACCTCAAAAATAAAATTTTCTGTTTCTTAATTGCAAGGAACATTTCATAAAAATTTATTTTATCCCTTTTCTTTTTGTCCCCTACAAGTTTCAATGATAGTTTATGTTAAAGAATGTCTTCCTTAAATAATAATAGCTCTTCGTTTGCAAGACGAAAACCAGTACCTGTAGTCTCAGAACGAAACCATGAGGAACCTTCGTTTTCTTCGCAAACCTCAACGTCGCTTTCGAAAACAAATAAACCAACTGAGCCAAATTTCTTAAACCAAGCTCCAAGAGCTCCTGCAAAATCACCGTTAAGGCATAGCGCTTCAAACGGCTCAGTTAATGGAAACCAAAATGCCCCTGCTACACCTATAAGTGGTTCTGCACAAACTACTATTGTTCAACCTGTTATGAGTACAATGACGATAACAAGCACATCAACTGTGCAAATTCAAAGTACTTCTAATTCTACAAACACATCGAAAACTCCCACTATACGTTCACGTCCCTCTGTAGATACTACTTCGTTACATTCTGCATTTTCTTTGGAACGCGAATTACCTTCCTTGCCAAATGAACGGATTAATAAAGAATATGAAGGTTCTATTAAATCACTTCAAACGATTAATTCAAAGAAAAATGGTTCAGAACAAAGTTTCCAGATCGCAAACTCCCCCACCTCAATAGGATTTCCTACACCTTCAGACATAAATAACAGCAATACTTCTCCACCTCAATCTCCCAAAATTAAATTACCATCATTAGCTATTGCCAGCGATCTGATCGCTTCTTCTGAAGCTATACTTTCGTTGAATACTCCGAAATTTCCAGGAAGTTCTTTCTTGGACACGGCTGATGAAATGTTGATGCAAATTTTGATTTCGCAATCTGTTATTGATTCAAAAGATTTCGAGATATTGAATTTAGAAGAAGTTGAGGAACTCAAAAGGGCAAGCATTGAGTACTAAATAGTCTGTACTTCGAGCTTCAGAATTATTAATGAATTATAAACTTTTTTTTTTTTTTCCTTCTAGGATCATTCATTATTAACAACTCGCATCGCAGCATTAACTTCAAAGCTTTCATTGGAATCAAAAATTCGGGAAGCGGCTAGTTCACTTGCAAGACTTCATGCGTCCAATAAAAGGTTGTCAAGACAAGCTACAGATCATTTAGCTACGGCAAATCGTAAAGTAGATCAAGTTGCGACAGAATTATGGAAATTAACACAACGAGCTGGTGAAGTTCAAAGAAAATTATTACAGCATATGGCTGGGGTACTTAGCATTGGAATACGAAAATTGGAAGAAAAAAGCTCACAACCTCCTTATTCACCACAAAAATCAGTGGAAGATAGCAACGGAATTGATAGTTTATTTAATGAAATCATGGGAATTAATAATAACAATGATAAAAGTAACGTACGGGATGATGGTTTGTTGAAAAAAGTTTCAATTTTGGAGGAGTCATTAAATAATGTTCGTCAGACACTAGTAGAAGCCAGAATGGCCATAAAACGAAAGGATAAAGAAATTGAAGAACTTAAAGCTAAAGTTGATGATACAGCAGCAGAAGCTCGTGAAAGGACAATAGCTGAATTAAGAACTGAACTTGAAGAAGTTGGAAGTCGGTTAGACATTGTATTAAGAAAACACAAGGCAAATAATCGAAAGAATAAAAATGGTTCTAGATCTGAAAATAATGAAGACTCTGATGAATCGGATTCAGGAGCTTCCAATTTCTATCGATTATCTACAATGACCACAGCAACTCAACACCTTCAAAAAGAACAATACAAAAATATCATAGAAAATTTGAATGCATTGGAAAAGGCGTTGGAAGATTGTATTTTTAAAATTTATAAAATGGAACAAGAAATTAGTTCGGTAAAGAATAATTCAGAAGAAGAAATAAAGTCATTGAAAAATCAGTTACAAGAAGTTACAAATGATTTACGCCAATCAAAAGAGGCGTTAGAAGCGGAAAAAATCAAAAATGACAAAAATGAAAACGAAATTAGTGAGTTGAAGGAGAAGGTTAAATTAGTCCAAGATTTAGAACAACAAATTAAAGATATGGAACAAAGGCAAGGTGAAAAAGGGATTGATGAAATGAATTTTAATGTAAATTTAGAATTGAAGCTGAAACAAACGACGAGAAAATATGAAGAAATGATTGATCACTTGAAACAATTATTTAATATCTTGCCTGTTGTTGACTCGGAGAATGATCCTGAACAGGGTGGATATAATAATTTGAATGACAATAAGTTCGGGGTGGATGAATTTATTAATAGAGTACGTGCTGTCGGAGAAGAAAATCGAAGGTTGCATGATCAAGCATCATTGCTTCAATCTCGTTTGGAACGAATACATGGACAAATGATTGAATTGAGAGAACAAGAAAATATTAAACAAGAATTGGAAGATACACGACAAGAACTTGAGGAAACCAAGGAAAAATTATCATACCTTGAAGAAAAAGCGCAAACCGCCAAATCACAAGTTCAATCAACTAATGAAAGAGAAAATGAAATGCGTAATGAACTGAAGACATTACGTGAACAATTAAAGACGAATCAAGAGAAAATACGTAAATTTGAAGCTATTATGAAAAGGCAATCCGTGTTACAGGTTGTTAATGATGGGACAACTATCAAAGAAGAATTTCAACAACAACTAGCCACTCAAGAACAAGAATACGAAGCTCAATTGAAAGAGAGAGATGTGGTCATTACAAAGCTTCGTAATGATTTAACGAATACTGTATCAGAGAAAGATATGATATCACAAACCGTTAGAGATTTGGAGGAAATGTTGAAATCTAAGTCCAGAACATTGGATCAAAGGGAAGTTAGTATAAATCGATTGGAGAGTGATATTGTGAAATATAAATCAGAACTTGCAGAATTGAAAGCTGTAACTGACGATGGAAGTTCAGGTGGAAATAATCCGAATAGTCTTAAAGCAGAACTTGAAGCAGCACATGAAGAATTGAAACATTTACGGAATGTCAAAGAAAAACTTGAGGCACAATTAAAACAGACAAAGAATACTTTAGAAAAAGCACAAATGGCATTTTCCGAAAGAGAAGAAGCTTTAGAAAAACGTTCAGAAATAATGCAAGCGGAATTGGATGGGATATTGAAAGAATTCGATCGATTGACGAGAAATTTCCTTGATTTTGATGGTGAAAGGCAAAAATTGGAGAATTCTCTTGATAAATTACAAAAGAAATGTGAGAATTTAGAGAATGAATTGGCAGATGAAAAAATCAAAAATTTGGGTATGGAAGCCGGTAATGAACCCACTACGACCGCTACATTAAGGAAAGAATTTAGAAAAATGATGGCTGAATCCAAAGATGAACAACAAAAAGCGTTACATCGCGAAATAGAAGAAAAGAAAAAATTGGAAAACGCTGTTAGAAATTTGAAAAGAGAAAGGGAAGCTGAAAAATGGGAAAAAACAAATAAGGGTACTCAAACTAGATTTGTTGTTAGCGTATAACATAAACGTATTTTTTCTTTCTTTTTTTTGCTAAGTAGGTTTAAGTTAATTAATAATTTATTTATTTATTTATTTATGTACTTATACTAGTTTTATTATTATAAAAATCTGTAATTATAAAATTAAATCAATGCTTTGAAACGAATCGTAATACGTTTGATAAATTAAGATAGCTCAAAATTTATTATATAAAATTTTGTAAATTCCAAATTTGATTTCTAAATTAAGCTATTTCAGACATAAGTTCTTTTTATGTCCGTAATTATTATTGGGTCGCATGTATGTAAGCAAGCATATAAGGAAAAGTCAATCAAATTGCGACATTGAGAGAAATTCATAATCTAAATTAGGTACTTTTTATTGTTTGATATAAAAGTAAGAATATAAAATAAGAATTTGACTACATTCTTTTCTTCCAAAATGTGTATGACGTGAGAATGCAGGATTCAGGAATTCTTCATTCATTGGAATAGCACGACCAACCACACGTGAAAAAAAGTGATGATTATTATTAATAAATAAATCATTATCACATGACTGACGATGATAATTAAAAGTTTATTGATGACAGAAAATGGATTCCATTTACATTCTAACTAAAAGAAGTATTCTGCAAATAGGATTTCTTTTTTTATTTTTTATTTATTTTAAAAAAAAAGCTCCTATTCCTTTTTAAGTAAAAGAAAGGTCCACCGTTGTTAATTAACCAAATAAATTTCCAAAAAAAGAATATGTTGACACGCCATATGACCATGATTTTGTAATAAATACTAGGTAAGCGATTTTTGAAAATTTGATCCATAATTTTAAACACGATTATTTCACCAGAAAATTTACTTATCTGTTCTATGGTGGGAGAAGTATTTGCTCTCAACAAAACAGACGGCACACAGGTATGGAATGCCAGGCTCTCGGATGTAGGAAACGGTGTTGGGGCATAATTTGTATCTGGTAGTAAAGTCTCGTTTGGATGAATGGCAATCTAGTCGCGAATTTGACTGATGGAGCAGAGGTTTGGAGAAACCCGTTATCGGGAATGAGATACACCGAAATATCAGTACTCGTCGCCAACACCAGTTCATCTAAAGGTTCTATCGTTTTAGTTGCTTCTGTTGGAAAATTAGGATCAGAATTAGGTAGACGCTTTGGAAAACGAATTGAAGGGTGGCTTTTATTACTTACCTTGTCTTATGTTGGATTCATCAGATCCTGATGTTGTACTGGTTGGATGTGGAAAACGAATATACAATATCAATTTACTTGATGGACAAACGATTTGGAATCAATAAATATCTTCAAACATTTTTGGTCTTCCTTACGTTACTATGGCCACTCCTCAAAGTAGGTATTTTGTTACAACTAAAATAGAAAAATAATTCTCTCTCAAAAGTAGTATAATGAATAAATCATTGAATATTTTTTTTTTTAAAAAAAAAAAAAAAAAAATGAATAACTTACCGCCAAGCAGTAACTACAAACTCAGCATCAATGGTAATTTCAACAATATAATAGCAGCAGCAATAATAAATTCCATATAAAATCAATAATATAAATAAACTTTCAATTACTTGGAATTAATTTCTTTAAGCTACGTAAATCTATCTCTTCATAAGATGAATTATATATATAATAAATCTTTAGTATCACGTAAAATTAACTTCAATGCAAATATAATAAATAATAAAATTTTTTCACCTGCGGCAATTTTCTTTAGCGTAATTATTTAGCAAACTATTTATTAAAATGTGGTATACCTAACATTGTTTTGCGGCAAATAATATAAATATTATCCATTCTGTTACAATGTTTTATCACTTTTTTATTAAAAAAAAAATGTTAATAATGCTAAATATTTAAATAAATTACAACAAAACAAAATAAAATAACTTTTAAATACATTTTTTCATAAAAATATGCTACGTTACAAAGTTTTATAAATAGTTGGTCGAGTCTTCGCGTCGTGATTTCTTCTAATTTATAATCATAAGAAACAAAAAATATTTATCATTCCATCTTTAATGCCTTCAAAATAAAAATTCTACAATAAACCTACCCTGATCGTATAATGGAGTATAAAAATAATACATTTCGCCAATTACAAATAACACCATAACAATATATGTGAATATTCGAACCAATATTATCTGGATCATTTTTCTTTTCCGTCACCCTATTCAATTAAATAAATAAAGATTTTTTTTGGTAAGCACATACGCTTAAGCGGATAACTTCTCCCTACGGAAGAGCAGCCAGATAAGAATTGTACCGCTACTTGTGATATCTGGATATTTTTGTATCTTGTACTCAGCTCATTAGCAAGGGTAAAAAGGTTATCGTGATAACATAAAACAGGGACGATTTGAGTAAACTCGCTGCATCGTATGATTTTTACCAAAGCCAAGCCATTTAAGAGATTCCTCACTTTGATATATAAAAAGCTATCACGACACTACTTTCCATTTACAGTGGCACCTAAAATGAAAATGGACTTTAATGCTACATACCTTTGTTTTGAAATTATTCTTCGTTGTCAATTAATAAAAAAAAACTTCACGACTTAAAATGTACATTTTGCAAAAAAAAGAATCCCTATTTATCAACGATGAGATTACCATATGTGTTACGTCACTCGTATATAATTTGGCACGTGACAAATATTATGTGACAAATATGCCAACACTAAGGAAAGGTCATAAATTACGTAATTTCCTAAGGGGGTCCACCTATTTATCCCAGTATCACCAACAAATTTTTCACCCTACGTGACGTTTGGCCGGCATTACAACTCCCCCAGGATCATCATTAAAAATCCTCAGACACATGATTTTAGATATATGTGATATGATTTAGTTGAATAATAAAATAAATCAATTTATTAATTTTCTTAATATATGAATTACTTTAATGCTACAAACTAGCCCTAATTTTACACAATTAATCGCAAATATTACACAGCTATTAGCTGCATTATCTGCGACTGGCTTTTATAATAAACCTTTTCTTCTAAACTCTAATGTTACATCCTAATTCTAATGTCATGCCCTAACTCTAATATCACATCCTAACTCTTATCTATGCTAATAACTTACAAATATTGCATAGCTTACATTTCAATACAATTATATTTAATAAAACTTAAAAATTATAAGTTTTCTTAATAGCATATATTTATTTTAATAAAAATTTATAATTTATTACAAATAATAAGTATTATAAATTTTATACATCACAATTGATATAGAATAATAAAGATTAATATGGAAATATAAAGAATAGTATAAATTTATGAAAAAAAATAAAATAAAATAAAATATTGAGAATAATACATTTTTTCACTTCGTATGTATTGCATATGATAAATTAATCACCTGTGAAATTACTATAAATAATTATCACTAATTTCTTAAATAAGAGTTTTATTAAAACATTTCTTTATAAAATAATAATAATGTAAAAAATAAAAAATGTTAGATAATTACAGCCCAAAATGATTAATCTGAAAAGTAAAAAAAAAAATGATAAAAATAATAAAAAAAAGTATACCTTTCTTATTTCTAACCTGAAAATGGAAATTAAGAAACTGCAGACTTAAAAAAAATTAAAAAAGTAATTTTAAATAAAAAATAAAAAAAGAAATCATATAATTAAATAAAAAATAATCAAAAAAACCCATTTATCACTAGAAAAATAATCATCTTCTAATACTTTAAAGCTGCTTATATTATCCTAATAAAGAGTAATATTGAAAAAATAATTTAAAATAATTATTAAAATATTTTTAAAGAATTTTGTTTTATTGATATTAAGAATAAGCATATTAAATATTAAATGTAAACAGAAAAATAAAATTTAAAAAATGAAATAAAAAAAAGAAACATAAAATTTTAAATTTATTGTTTAATAAAAATATACCAATATTTTACATCACCCTGAATTAAATTATATATACTTAAAATTACGTATTTGAGAATTTTTAATAGTGATTCTGAAAAAAATTTGGTATTACTACAAAGGATGGTCAAAAGTTTTCGAACACCTTTATAAATGCGATTTAAAAAATTTTCGTCATATAATTGTGATACCATATTGCGATCATATGACCATCAATTATTTATTTATATAATTAAAATAAAAAAATTCGTGTTATTTTTGTTATTTTAATTTATATCACTTAATCTCTACCAAATCAAAAAATAATGGGACAAAATAAAGAATTAACCAAAGAATAATGCGAAGCTATATTTTACTGCCACCAACATAGTGACAGTTACTAAATTATTGTAAAGATCATTAACTGTGAAAAATCAACTATTTGTGATATATTAAAAAAAGCTAACATCACAGGATCGACTGAATCAATACTTCGCTCTGGACGACTATCCTTGATTACAATTTCTCAACGTAATCGCCTCAAACGAATAATTACAAATAATAAAACTAAAAATCATTATCTTTATACTACTGGAGTGCAGCAACTTTGGAAAAAAAGTCTGAACAAGATATTTCAACCCAGACTATTAGACAAGTTCTCCATTCAACTGGATTAAAAAACTATATTACACAAAGAAAACCTTTAATTTTACTAGCGAACATAGAGGCACGTCTCGTATGGTGTTTAAAACACCAAAGTTAGACAAAAGAAGATTAGTCAAAGGTCATATAGAGTGATGAATCAACCTTCTTCCAATTCCAATAAAGTCGCAATAGCAGAGTGTAACGAGAACTAGCAGATGAGTGGGCTTTATCCTGTATATTAGCTACAGTAAAGCATAGCCCAAGCTGTATATATTGAGGCTGTTTTTCTCAAAAGGGAAAAGGGCCAATTGTTGCATTATCTGGAACAACAAATGGTGAATCACATGTCATTATTCTTCGTAAATATGTAATGCTAGCTATGAGATGAATATTTTCCAATAATGATGGCTAGTTTCAAGAAGATAATGCCCTTCCGCACAAATCGAAAGTTGCAATGAATTTTAAGGCAGAAAATGGTTTTCTTACATTAACTTGACCAGCCCAAAGTTCTGACCTCAACCCAATTGAAAATTTATGGGTTGAGATTAAAAAAAATATTTATGCATATAAAAAACTACTATCAAATCTTGCTGACCTCAACCAATATGTTAAAAAGGTATGATGAGAAATTCTGATGCATACTATTGAAAATTTAGTTGATAGCATGTTACAGCGAATTTAGGCTGTGATTGCGACAAAGAGAGGCCAAATCAAGTATTAAAAGCTTAATATGAATTGTATGCCTTAATCAGCTCTAAACAAAATAATATTAGAACTTTTACTATTAATGTTAAAGAATTATCAGTTTTATATTTAATGAAAAAGTGTCTAGAAACTTTTGACCACCCTCTATATATAAAAAAATTTTTTTTATAATTTCTTTAACTTTGATTTTAAAAGAACTTTGATATCACCTTTTTTTCGATATTTTAAAGAAAATTTTAATGAAAAAAATGACTTGATCTTCAATTTTTATGAAATGCAAAATTTTTTAGGTAATAAATTTTATTAATACACTTTTTATAAAAAGTGGTAAAAAAATTAATTGAATTTATAATTTTACATCTAATAAAATATTAGTTAATGCAAAAAAATTACTTATTATAATTATCTTTAAAAAATAAGTTAATTATTATTGAAAATTCTTATTTAAAAAAAGATTCTAATATATCTTCTGATGATAAAGTTATGTGAGTAAATTCTAAACTTGATAATAAATTTAAAAATGCATTAAAGAGTTGCTTTTTGATATAAAAAATATCAAACCTTTAAAAAGATCACTTAAATATACAGGTAATAATATTCAAATCAAAAAAAAATATAAAATAATCATAAAGAAAATGATTATATAAAATGATAATACTGTTACATAAATTTTTTTAGTATTGAACAACTTTAATATATATGCAAATGATAATTATTTAAATGAATCAAAAGGTCATAATTCAGAAATAAAAAGTGATTCTGATAATGAAAGAATTAAAAAAATTAATTCCTGTTATAAAAAAAAATTTTCTGGATAAAATTTTATTACTTAAACAAAAATAATGATTAGAAATCATACTTTAATATTATCAATGTTATCAATTAAATATTAAAAATGAAAGCTAATATTTTTATTATAAAAAAAAATGAGTATTTTGCTTATTAACTTTGAAAATAGATTTGTATGTTAGTACAAAAATTAAGAAATTTCTATTTTAATATATAGAAAATATATTAAAGTTAAAAGTCTTCTTAATAATAAAGATATATATTATGAGAACTTTAACTA